CTTCCTTAATGATACTTTTTATACTGTGGAAGATGTTACGTCATGGGTGTTTTACACCTCACCGATGGAAGTTGAGACGTGTCAGCACATACAAACCATAAGAGGATAATGAGCAGCTGGTGTTGAGCACCTCTTTTCTGTGGAACAATTTCTGTGTCAATTCCAAAGGATGTCACCAGCTGTTCTGCTCTTTTTAACCTGCAAGGCTGATACAACCATGAAAGGGAAAAAGCTGAAGAAAAAATGTGGGTTTTTTTCCCCTCCTAATACAGGGATCCTCAGGTTCTCTAGGACCAACCTTATTTCAATTTTGAATTAGACAGAAAGTCTGGCTGTTTACCCTGGAGTGTGTAGGGAGGCCTTAACAGTGCTGCCAAGAATAAATCGTACATAGTAATGATAATATTAATAATTTATTGCCTTAATAAAGAGTGCATTCTAGAGAGTAACAAGGGTTGGGTTTGCATCACCACCAAGAGACAACTGGTCTGTTGGCTTTTATGGTATGTGCCTAAAACTTGGTGCAAAGGAAACTACATCAGGAATCGCTCCATGGGCACAAGAAAGACCACACTGGATGAAGCAGATAACCCTATCTTGCCTAAGTATTCATGACTTGAATAAGCATGTGTTTGGAAGAGACAAACCAGCAGAAGATGGGCAAAGTAACAATTATTTTTAATGCAGGTTAGAATCTGTTTATGGTTTATGCTTTTTGGAGTATCTTTAAATGAACAAAGACTGTTTCTTTATCATCCTCATTATTTTCCTTTGTAATCATTCTCCACTTCCTCCTCTGTATCTAACAAGCTGTAACTGTAGTTTAAGAGGGGAAGGGACCTTTTCCCTATCTATTTATATGTCAAGGAAAATTTTCTGCCAGATTCTCTTAAGAGCAGATGAAAAGAAAGGAATTTTGAGGGAGAGGGAATGAGTAAGAACAGTAACATAAAAATAACCTTCTTTACAGCAACCCCTGTAATAATGAAGAAAGAAAATATACAGATAAAATGCTTTGATACTGCAGGACCTGGGCTAAAACCAAACCAACATCATCAACAAGAAGGGTTCATTCTGCTGCTGCTGTACAGTACAAGCAAAGAAGTTTTGCAAAATTAAACATATCCTATGTTTTCAAATCAATTATTTAAATTCAATTCCTTTGTATTTCTTCTCTTTTTTTCCTCATCTCTTTCTATTCCGCAACTTTTATTCCATATGTGTGTTAGCAGAGACCTGTGTATCTTCCTCCCCCAGTAACATTTTATTTCAGTGGAGAAGTTATCTTCTGGATGAGTTCAGTATTCATAGACTTAATATTCCCATAATTGATAACAAACTGATTGGAGCTAAAGCGCTTCCTTCCCCATTCTCCCAAATACACATGTAGCAGGATATTTAATTATTTATTTTAAATTTTGCTTTCAGATTTTAAAGCCTAGATTATCCTAACTCTATCTGTGCCCAGAAAAAAAGCCATTTCTGTGAAGTTCCTGACCTCCTGCCCCTCTGGATAGACCAACAGCGACACTGCCATGCTTGTCCTCCTATGCTTTCTCCTCCTTCTCCTTGCTCTGGGGTCCAAAGACCAGTCAAGAAGCAAGGGGAAGCCTGGGAGAAGAGAGGCTGTCAGGAAAAGGTGGCTTCTATCAGGATGGTAGGACTGCTCCTTAATTTAATTAATAAAAAGGGAGCTGAATCAATTAAAAAGCTTAGCCTTTAGCATATGTGGAATAACAATCCTTTCCCCTATTCTTTGTATGTCTGAGCTCTTAAAATTATAATCTTCTACTTCGTGTATACATGCAGTTTGTACTGCTATGAGACCAGATCATTTAATTTTTTTGTTCTCTACCTTTTTAGATTGTTTTTATATTTTTTTCCTCAAACATTCCTTTGAGGCTTCTGCAATCAATATGAAATTGCTTTCTATTAACTGAAACAATATATATATGGAGTGGGTATAATCTAAGCACAATACATTGTTCCAGACAGCAACAATGAAAAAGTGAAGTGTTGTTTACTGAAGCACAATAGAAGTGCCTAGTGTCTGTGGTATCCATTCAGCTTGTATTCATTTAAATAGTATTGAGAACACTTTAGCCAAAAGCAAATTTGAAAGGCAAAAGAGTGAGAAAAGACTTGGGAGAGGGATAGAACAGAAAAAGCTGACAAAAGCTGGGGAAGGGAAACAGGAGGTGAGGAATTCCAAAAACGGAAGAGGGGCAGAAAAAGGTAGCTGATGAGGAAAAGGAAGGTGAATGGGGAAGAAAGAAGAGAATTTTTATATGTATAGTTTGAATAGTGTTTGATGTGTCCTGCTTAATTGTGATGCTATTGTCTGCGTGTACACAGAAGCAGGCCTACATTGCACAATATTGAGAACAGTGCAGTGAATACCTAAAAATGTCAGCTAGTATAGTTTTTACAAAAAATTTACAAAATGTTACATTCTTTCATAGAAAAAAAAAAAAAAAGAGGCAAGGTAGAGCTTGTTAGAATTAATTGGAAGAAATTATTATTATGGAGTCTCTTTGTACTCTGTGAGAGATTTTAATTTCAAGATGCCAAATCCTTCTCCCAGTGTACAGTTCTCCCTCTAAGACCACTTTCTCACCCAACCCTAGGCTTTTACCACTGTTTCATTGCCTTCTCACAGGTTGCTATTTCTTCTTTGCTTCTGACAGCTAGTTTCAGTGATGGATCCCAGGTATTAAACTTAAAAGCTTAAACTTCAAGCTTTTTAGCTCATTCTGGCCAGTTCTTTGCCAGAACTCACTTTGGATGTTGGAAATCAGCAAATGGATATGTGGATTGGGGCATGCAATAAGTGAAGCTTTGAATTATCTTCTGTGTAGATGTGGCTTCAGGGAAAAAGTATGTGTAGTCCTGAAGGTGAAGAAAAGTGTGAACATATTAGAGGGTTTGTTACAAGTAGTGGCAGGGAGCCATTGCTAAACGGACACTCAGTGATACTTTTTTCCCATGAGCAACCTTTTGAATGAGAGAGGTCTTGTATCTATGGTCTCTGCTCTCATAGTTACCGAAGCTTGTTCTTGATGTGAAAATTTAGGAACTCTTTGTATGTATTAGTCATTAATTTAACCAATCAGAAAATAAATACGCATGTGGACTCATTCTATTCTGGTGGGGGTTTGGTCTGGCATATGTTGGTGCAATCTAATTATATCTTTGAGATTACAATGATTCTCTCTCTTTTATTATTGATAGTACCAGTTATCAATTACTTAAGTAAGTATTAATTAAATCATAACAGTTAAGTAATTTTGTAACTTTTGTGATTTTTTTTCCTAATTCTGTCCTTTTCTAAGATAGCAAGGATGTCTTATAACAGTGCATAAATCCTGACAGTTACCTTTGCACATGATCTCCTATAGAAAATATGCACTCTTTTGAACACCAGGTTTAGAACCTGCCAGCATTCTAGGAGTTAAATTATTAACAGCTATCCTGCTTGGTGGTAAAGCTTTTACTCATTATTGTATGAGGTTTACATACTAACAAATAATTGCTGTAGCTGTGGTTAAAATGCATAAGCCTTCTGAAAGACATACATGTTAAAGTGAATTAGGGGTTTTGCGCAGAACTGCATAACAAAGTGTTGTGGTGCTTGTTCGTATCCTCACCTCTATGAACATTGTTCAGCCAAGATCTAACCAGGTGTTGTTATTCGGTGGTGCATTGTGCTATTTGTACTGGAGGCTGTGGGTACCTTTAATCAGTCCTGCAAAGTGATCAACCTGTGGCGATGGGTCATGAGAATTTTGTTTGTACAGGGCTGGGACAAACAACTAGCCAATTTCTGAACTACTCATAAAGGTTCTCGACCAGTTGCTAAAGGACTGACTGTGGGAGAAAAAAAAAAAAAAAAAAAAAAATTGTTTTGGCCCTACTGGAAAGGCTTACCCTTTTTTTTTTTTTAATTTTAGCTACCTTTTGTGGCCATTTAAACCCTCAGGTTGAATAATAAAAGTAAATGAGAGAGTATTTGTTACCTGAAAGTTACCCCTAGAAATGCAATTTAACTGAAAAAAATTGTTAATTCTGTACCAAGACTGAGGTTCAGAGAGGGAAGCAATTGACCTCCATTTGTACACGTAAAACTTGGGGGTTTGGGGGAATGTAATATTTTTTTTCTTAATGGATCCACATTCTGTAAAATGCCAGTTTTATGAAGGGAGAATTGTAGATAATTATATCTTTAAAGCTTCTCAAATTTTTTTACGTTGAGTCTGTGTGTCAGAAATAATTATGATGAATAGGAACAGGTTAGATTTCTTTGTTTCCTTGCCAGTGTTGCTTCTTGGGCTTACCTAAATATTCCCAGACTGACTCTTAGCCTGCTTCCAACTGAATAAAAACTGCTTGTAGACCCAATATGTCAGAGTACATCAGATTTTAATACTCTTTCTGGGTCTACAAGCAAAAGAAGGATTTTTTTTCTGAAATTGGATTTTATTTCTTTGTAAAGATTGGTATTTGAAGCTACTCCAGCTTTTTAGAATTTGAGAATTCTTCAGTGGACAGAGTGAGTCTAAATTAAGCAATAAATTCAAAGTGTTATGTTATTGGCATTAGGCATGCAGACTGAGGTTTTTCAGAACAACTTAGGCAACATAGATATACAACTCCTATAAAATGTAATGGGAGCTCCATAGTTGCAACGGCAGCACAGTTTTGAAAGTCTCTGCTGTAGTGACTTTTTGACACTATTTCGAAGCAACTTTGCAATCCTTTTGTTTCTTTTTGCTGCAGCTGATCACGGACTTTTTCTTTACAAGTTGTGATTGGCTTCAACTTTTCTATAGCCTTCTAAAGTCTGAGTCAAATTTAAAATGTAAAAATATGTAATTTCTGAAATGCTATGGCTTTAATAACAGTAAAGGACAGGAGGTGGGAACAGAAAACAAGATCATGACCTGGATTAACCATGCTTTTGATAGATTAAGTTTATTTTATCAGTCTGGGTCTCTCTGGAATGGAGACTGGAGAAATTCACCGGTGTTTTGGAATAGGTCATATTTTCTGTAACTTTCATTCTGGTCTGTTTTCTTCCTGTCATCATCTCCTTGGTCTCAAAAAAGACTACCTGACTTGTTTATGAAAACCTGATGACAGAATTTGGACAAACAGGAACGTAAAGAAATCACTATTCTCTTAATTCTAGGAGCAAGGCAAACATAATCCATATTTCAAGCAACATTTGGCTTTAATAATTGTTCCACAAAGGGAAGGGACATTGCCCAGACAGAAAACAGCATCCAGGGGGGAGAATCAGAAAAGTGGAGAAGGTATACTCAATCCTTTGAGATTTATTTGTGCAAAAGTTAGCTTAAATGGAAAACAGAAACTACATATTGCTGTATAATTTTTTAATGGTCATAGCTTAGCTGAATCCCTGACGATAAAATGCTTAAAGAAAATAAGAACAAAAGGAATAAAATTAAAACAAAATACTCTCAAGTGCTCTGTAAAACAATCTTGAAGGCTATCCAGAAAGTACATCTGTTGTTGGATGGTGGAAAAGTACATGATAAACAACCAAATAGCAATGCCATTGGCATGGAAGAATACATTTTCAGATAGTCAAGATAAAGTTGTGAAACATAATACCTACCTCTTGTGTCTGTAGAACTTGCTGCTTTACAGGATAAAACACAGAACAACCAAAATCCCTTTCAAGGTGGATAAAGCCAATGCACAGGCACAATTTACTCAAGGCTGTGCATTAGAGCTCTAACACAGCTGGAAATTGAACCGAAGTCTCCTACGGCCTAGAGTGGTTCCTTATTTAATAAGTCAGTGGGGCAAAGCTCTGTCAGGTGTTTTTAAATGCATTTTCTTATCTCCGTTTTCTGGAATGAATAGAGGGCTCCTGAAGAGAGAATGAACAACTGTTTTGCTTTCTACCTCCACATAACTGTGCAAAATGATTAGGATTATAATTGAACTGAGCTGGTATTATCTGCTTAGTATTTTTTAGGTATATAGAAACAGCTCAATACCTTTTCAATTCCTTTAGCATAGTGACAGTAAGATTAGTCCCATTATGTGAGTGCCGGATGTTTAAACCTAGGAATTCAACTGGTGGAAGGGGATCATGGGAGGCAGATAGTCAACATAGCTAGATGTTTGAGTGGTAGTGTCCCAACGTACCTCAGAGGATAAGGTAGGAGGAGGATGGACGCATTGAGATAGTGTTGACAGGGTCTGAAGTGCCACAGCCCTCAGAGTGGTTGCAGGTTGCCTTAGCAGCCAGACTCCTACAGTTCATTTACAGGAAGCCCAGTGCTGGAAGTCCAGCTCAGCACTTGCACACCTTTGGACTTTTCCTTCGATACATATATACAAACTCTTTAGTCTTTTCTAAGGTCTGGGGGAGTGGGACATGAATGAAGAGTGAGCCTCCCCTTCCAATGTTAAGTTTATTTTTGTAGGTCAGGTGAGGGGTTAGTGCAACATCTGTAAATATCTGAAAAGCAGGCACCCAAATAAGGAGTGTATGAAGACCTAATTAAAACTTTTGTAGGTTTTAATAATGCATATGTATTATCCTTCTTTCAGAGGACAACATGGAGATATTTTTCAATTCGAAATTATTGCCTCTCCAGGTAGTTAAATTGCTGCACAACCACCTGCAGTCCCAGGGAACCCGGACTGTGAGCATCCTCGTACCTTGCTCAGCATAAGTGGGTCAATATGTTGGGGTTATTATCACTAAAGAAAACAGAAATTAAATAGGTTTACTCTGATTTGGTACTGTCATAGACCTGTGGGTGAGCTACAAGCCAAGCTTAGGCACCAGCCTTATTATTTTTACCATAATGGTTGGTGTTTGCTATCTGTGTTGGGAACAGGAGGTAAGAGTGAGTTACATTTCAGTAGCATATAACTGTTTAATATGCAGACAGGAATAGTTAACTGGCAAGGCCAGAATGTTGCATGTCAAAGTTTAATTCTCTACTGTACAATAAAATTTCTAGACAGCTTGCCAAAAATCACAGAGGAAGAGAGCCATAAAGCTCCTCTAGTCAACAGTTTAGATTTGGAGTGACAATGCCAGGAGTCTGCTAAGTGTTAAGGCATCCTTGTGAGATGCATGCATTCAGCAACGATTGTCTTCATTTTCTTACTTCAGACAGTTTTTGCAATTGTCTGTGGAGGGAGAGAAGATGAGAGTAGTCTTTTCCTGACTCATAATTTAGGTTCAATTTATATCCTAGCCAACAGCTAGAGAGGGAACGACCCAGACTTAAGCACTTTCTTCCCTGGGTCCATTTTTATCCCCTGTGCCTGTGAGAGTACAAAGGTGTCTGCCATCAGTAACTATGTGATCTCCCATTTTGAATACTCCTTTGCATGTATTCACTAAGATAGGACTGGTCTCCTGGGAGAATGCCTTCAGCAGTGGTCAAGCATAGACTTTTTGGTTTTGCTTCAGGTATTTCTGTATTTTAGACCGAGCTGAACAGGAAAGATTAAAAGCATGGGTGAAAGTTGCTGAAGCATGAGCATTGAGCATCAGCAGTTAGGTACCTCTGTGTGTACATTATAAAGGAAATCTGAATGCATCAGCCCTGCTGATGGAGGTTTAACTGCAGGGACTTTATGTGCCTACAGATAAGGAAATGTCTTAACCAGGTTTTAAAGATTTAGGTGCATAAGGATGCAGACCTCAAATTGAGAATCTTCAGTTGCTGTTTTTTCCCCTCCACACGTGAGTTTGGTGGATAAATATCTCAAAAAAATTGGCTCCTGTTACTTTGACAAGTCACATACATACCATAACTACTGTCTGTGGTACTACATGTCTGTTCTTTTAGTACTACTTTTAACGATTTGCACATTGGGTAACACATCTTGCTCGTTTAAAGGAGGGAAGGTATGCAGCTGGGAATGTATGCCATTTGTGAGTGCAGAGACCTTTTTTTCAAAACTGCTTGAAAATTATTTGCATTCTGCCAGTAACAATGTGCTAATATTCAATAATAATAATGTATCATCACATATTAACTTACTCAACATTGTGAAACTCATGCTACAAAACAATAAAGTTCCTCTGTTCTCTACCATGAAAATGGAAACTTCCTGTTAGGATAGGAGGAAGGCAGTGATCAGGTTTTATTGCAATGAGTACTGAAAGCTGAATGACCTGGTTCGCTGACAGTCTGGTCATCCTGAATTTTTATCACGTTGGTAGGAATCAGTGGCTTTTAGTATTTCTCAGGATTTAAAAGTACAAGAATAATAACACCATACATGGTGAAGTTACTCATTCAGGAGATTATGTTAGACTAATTTTAAATAACAGTGAAAATATTCATAGTTGTATTCTGCTGTCTCATTGGAAACTTGAGATATATGAAACAGCTAAATGAAGAGAACCAGTTAAGATGAAAATTACAATGTTGGATTGCAAATACATATACTGACATGTAAATTTTTTGGTTTATAAACTCTCTTTTTTTAAGATCTCTGTGAATGTCATTCAGCTGATTTTTTTGTTTGTTTGTTTTATGAAAGAAGACCAATCCTTGCTTCAAGGGGATGGGGGAAAGGACAAGAACCCCCTCATCTTGTGTACAATCAAAGCTGTGATACAGAAAACTGCCTGTGTGAACCTAGAGTGTCACTTAGTGATTCTAAATTTGTGGTTTGAAAAGGGAATTACAAGTTACTTGATAGAGGAGAAGCTCCTATTCAAATAATTGCTCAGCAATTGGAGACAAAAAGGATATAAAAATATTAGAAGAAAGAGTAGGCAATGAAGTAGACATGATGGTCTTGAGGTTATGACCCTGGTTTCTGGAAGCCTGAGTTGATATGTGATCTATCCAAAATATGTTAGGCTAACTTTTCTCTTTTTCAGTCCTGTCTTCTAATTTTATGAGGTCTTTAAGTACCATGATAGGCACTCTGTTTTATTAGCATGAAGACCACTTAACTCCGTTAGATTATTGCTGTTACTCAGATGCAAGTGCTAACGGATAAAAGAAAAAAAAAAAAAAAAAAAAAAAAAAAAAAAAAAAAAAAAAAAAAAAAAAAAAAAAAATCTATATTTGGAACATCTTTTCATGGTTTTTAGAGTGCTTGCATTTCCCTCCTATTGTCCTGTCTCTCCTGTGTCTTTAGTGAGTATGTATCTGGAGTCTTCTATAATTGGAGGAAAAAGCTGAAAAGCTGCTGCCTATTAGCAAGAACAAAAAGAGTAGCAATAGAAATCAATGAGCCAGAACTTTCAGCAGATAAATAAACTGTTTATAGGTCCAATAGTTGTGAGATTGTTTTTCCCTTTAATATTTCCAAATACCGTCAAACACACACACCCCACAAAAAATATTTTCCATAGGGTTATTGTACTCTGCTATCACTTGCATTTGTGGATTCCATAATTAGCTCACAAGAAGTACTTGACATAAAAATGGAAATTGCCATTATTTATTCTGAACTGAGACCACTCCCTCCTCTTAGGGAAGTGCCACAGCTATTCCAGAGTAAAAGCTTTGGGAAGGGTGCAAGAGGATTGTTTGCAGCTGTTTCAGATCTCTCTGAAGAATAAGAATGGGAGAATAAAAAGTGAACTGAAAAGGCAAACAGGATGGAATTCTTGTATTTATGCTTTACTAGCACTGGAGGCTTTTAAACCCCATGTACAACTGCAAAAGATGTGTCAGTGTCAAAAGAAAGGAAATTCCAGTAGACACATCCGTGCCTCTGTGTTCCAATAAGCTAACATTTACAACTGCTTTATTCTATATGGCATAGCATAGCAATACAGGTTTGTAGGCAAGGAAATCCTTACTTAGAACTAGAACTATTAAGAATCAGTTTTATGGGAAATAATTGCTTGTAAGAAGAGATCCATGTGGTTGGGGATTGCAGTAAAAATTTAAGAGAAAGTAGGAATGGATTATAACAAAATACTGGAGTTTAGTTGTTCTGTGTTGTCAGACACCTACTGAAGATGAGGTGTCCTTGACAGTGAGTATCTACCCCTAGTAGAAAACCAAATCTGAATCTTAATTCAAGGCAATAAGAAAACCTTTAAAATTGACACTAATGAGAAGCTTTTATCTGTCTGTTTGAGGCCATATTAGTTAGGGCTCTTAAAAGGAGGTATAAAAATTTAGGGGATCTATGAAAAAAATAATCAAACTTTCAGTAATTAAATAGGCTTGTGGAGCTGAAAAAGAATGAGGAAGAATAGAAAAAACAACAGTAAGAGAGATAATATCTCAAAAGAAGAATGAAAAGGATAATAAAGGTTCTGATAGAAACATGGCTTACAATGTAATGGATTTATCAGCAGCAAAGAATTAACCTGACAGATGCAGCCATGGTCAAGCAGTGCAGGACAATGCATTGTCTTCTGCTAGTGGAGAAAGCCTTTAATGACAACTGTAAATTACCCTATCAAACATGCTAATTTCTGTAAAATCAGATAATCTTTTAAGAGAAAGGTTGGTTGTTTTTTTTTTTAAATTTAATTCTTTCTAGATGTTTAGAACTAGAAATACAAAATATCATTAAACAGGTATTATTAACTGTGTGTCTGCATGATAAAAGTGAGAATAAGGGTAAATTTTTCAACTGCTTGGACCAGCTCCTTTTCAGGTCAAAAAGTGTTTATTGAAACAACTGACTCTTTTTGTCTAGAGTCGACTCATCACTGTTGCTTTAAATACATTTTTCTGCCAGTTGTTTTCTTAAAACCCTCAAAGTTCTGTTTAAATCCTGAATTAACTTTGGAATAGAATGGGATCTTTGTTCTCTGCTTGTACTCGTCATTCTTTTGCATCTTAGCTCTACTGCAAAAGAAAGAAAGATCTTATTTATGGAAGGTAATTAGACATTAGATTTCTTAGTCAATGTTGTACGTCAATATTAAGACAATGTTAAGACAAGATACTTAAATACAGTTCTTAGCTATTGAGATGGTGATTCTGATGCTTCAGTTTTACTTTCTATGCATAATATTAAAGTAAATTTATTGAGATTTATTTATGAACAAATTACTGATATTTATGTGATCTATAACTGAAGAAATCCAAATTAGTCAGCCAGAAATCTTGGTCACTTTTGGTTTAAATTGTTTTAATATATTATTTTTATTTAGCTAGAACTGTGGTAGAGGTTTAACTTTAACATTTATGCTAGCTATGGCTTGAGAAGCAGCATATCTATATTACGCAGTGTCTAACATCCATACTCTAGTCCCGGTATTGTTTATTTGACAAACACTGATAATCTTACAAGCATACTGTGCTTAAGAACTGTACTTGTCACAATTAAAATGTAAGATGGATAGCTGTATGCATGGAGCTCTAATTTATGCAGAACATGCAGAAAGGAAAATAATGCATTTTTATTGCCAGTTGGATGTAGAATCTCATGAGGAAAGCAACCAAAATCCTATTTCAAGCTCCCTAAGGAGATCCCATGGATCATATTTTTCAGTCTTTCTCAATATTCAGGTTTCTGGATTTGTTTGATCTGGGAAATGGTGAAGGAGAGAGGTTGGAAAAAGGCAAGAAAGGGATACTGTTGGGATTCTAGAGGGCTTTCTGCGAGAGAATGGCCATGTGAGCAATCCTGCGTGAGAACAAGACTGATAAGAGCCTCAGCCGAGCAAGAATGCGATAAGGACGTGACCCAGAAT